TTTTTAAATTTTTGTCTTTTGAAAGGTACTAATATTTCTAAATTTGTAACAAAGAATATTGAAAAGGATCATTTTGGGGGTTTTTTCCCTTCAGGCTTCACATGTACTAGGAGTTCTTCACTAGTTAGAAATTTTTGTGAACAATATTGGCAGATTTTCTGTGTAAGCACATAAACGTAAAACAGAGGCATACTTTACACATTTAGTCATCCCTGTGTTCTGTGGATAAAGCAAGAGATAGGTGCCAAGAGATAAGTAACACTGAACTGTGACTGTACAAAGTGCTACCATCCTCTTTTTCATTTCTATAGAGGTTCCTCATTCTGTTGAGTGAACCCTGGGTCACAACTGGTCGTATATTTGGTTAATTATGTTTGTACAATCCATATTATGGTTATACAGCATGCTAACATATCCTGTTTCTTAATTAACTGTTAAAAGGTTCAACAAAACCCATATTTTATTTTATTACCATATTCTGGCTGAAGTAGGATCTGTGGGGAGAAAAAAAAATCAATGAAGAGTCAGTAATTTAAAAAGTTATCACCTTTCCAGAGGGTATCATTACAAAGCTTCATGCATATGTACTTTTCCATTAGTTATCCTAAATCCAGATGCTGCAATTGCTTCTTTTGCTTTGGAAGAGTAGAAAGTGTGAGAAAACTGCAGTTTATCTTACTTATTACTTAGTTTTAGATACTGTTGCTACTAATTAACATGGTTTATATTAACTTCTCTCATCTTTGAAGCCTTATAAGAATATAACAATGTCCAATACTGCTATTCACTGGCAATATGGTCGCATGCCCTAGGAACACGCAGAAGTGCATTAGTACAACAAACATCCCTCTATGATATTTTCATTCAACTGGTCATTCGTATGATACAGTTCTTTTGCCAAGACTGTCTGTACATCGACAGAATTGGATCTTTGGTGGAAGGCAGACAGAAGGAATTTAGTCTTTTCTGGTGACTGAGGATACTTTTTAAAATTCATAAGATCTTGAAATTTGATTAATAGAAAGAAAAAGCACATGAAAAAATTCTGAAATGAAACAACCACACTAAAAAGTATGTCTCCATGTTTTCTGCCCTCATCTCATTTCACTCAGTTGAGTGCTCTTTCATCTCTCATCGTAAATGGCCCTTGAGGCAAATGAGCTCTATGGCTTATTACCAGTTTGTGGAGTAGCTCACTAGAAGGACAGGCTTCAGCAGATAAGAAGACTTCTCTAGCAGACTCCATAGGAATCCTAAGGAAAGAACACATTTCTGACATTTGAAAGAGCAGCACACAACCATCAAATATATCAGATACACTATCTCTGGAAGATAGCAGTCCTTTTGCCAAAACACTTCACATTTCTTTTAAGACTTAATGGGATTTACACTAGAAAAAGAGTGACATAGTGCCAACCTGGGCTATATTAAGCCCTCTAGTATCTTCACTGTATCTGAGTCACCATATTGAAACAATAGTCTGGCTTTGTATAACTTTGCATGAAGACCTTGATAAATGTAATTTCTCTAGGGAGCTAAGATGGGGCTTCTAACTTATACAACAGGATGAAGCACAGACATACAGAAAAGGAGACTGGAAAAGACCTCAAGACCTCATCTTGTACATTCCTAAGCTCCAAGGGAGAATCACTTGTATCTCAGAAATGAAAAAGTATCTAGTTGTCTTCATTGTTAGTAAGATTTTCTTAATATATTATATAACCTTCAGTGTCATAGTTCAAACCCATCGCTTTATCCACTACATATAAAAAATATGATCCCTCCTTATTTCTTCGTAGGTAACTTATGTAGATGACTATTTGTATGCATTTAGTTGTCCTTCTGTTCTTGGGACTGAGCAACCCAATTCTTTCAGTGTTTTTTCTTGTTTGTTTGTTTGTTTGTTTGTTTGTTTCCCACCAAAAAACCTGAATGTTTTCTCTGCTCTTCTCTGGACTTTTTCCAGTTGGTCTGCCTTCTCTTGGAACAATTTTGCTTGAACAGGACATAGTGCTACTGGTTGCTGTGCTAGACAGAAATATAATAGGAGGTATTCCTCAATGTGTCGTACAAGCAAAACAGTTTATGTTCCTAATATGCAGTTTGCATTTTTGTACATATCTGGTGTAACAATACTCATTCATGAATAGCTTCTGACTGACTGCTACCCCTCTTACCACTTCTTGGCAGAATGGCTGCCACATTTTTATGAACTATTATTCCCCCTTAGAACCTCACACTTGTAAATACAAGTGCATTGTGATATGTTTTCTCCTGCAGATAATTTTTTGTATTTGTCAAGAGCATTCTGAATTTCATGTATCATGCAGTTGAGTTAAATTCCACGTGAGCTCATTGTTGAACGAGGTTGAAGGATTGTTCCTTTATCCAAGTCATTACTGACCTTACACAGTACTTGGCCCAAAACAGATCCAGCTAGAATCTCACTGATTATGTTTCTTTGAATTTGATAGTGAATGATTAAAATGTAATATAAGTCTGTGGTTTTGGTGTTGGTTTTGGTTGGTTTCAGTTTCCTTTTTTTTTTTCCCCAGGTAGCTTTGCAGTCTTCCAGAAGTAGCTTCACTTTAATTTAATTTTGAAAATGTTATGAGTCATTATTACAATGTCAATAATGTTATTAAAATGAAATCATATTTGACCTGCTTCTTCTCTATTTGTAACACTTGTTGCCGTTACAGAAGTTAGTAGCAAACATGCCAAAAAAAAAAAAGTGATATAACTTTTTTAACTATCTCCAAATTTTAATTTATTCTAGTTTTTTCCAGAATTAGTCTCTTCCTCATTCCTTGACTTTTTTAAGGTGAGCACTGTGTTCTCCTCCTCACACATTTCTCACACAACTTCTGAGAGTTTTCGGACTCAGCTAACAGATCTGAGCTTGTTTCTCTCCATCTCAAGGTATCCTAATGTGCATTTCTCACTCTATATAGAGCTCATTTCACCTTTTTAGTTGCCTGTGAAATTGCCATCTATATCTGTGCATAGGAGTAAGCTCCTATCTCAGTCAAGGGAGACTTATTGCACCGACTATAGAGTTCTTCTGGAGAGAGGCTATAGAGATATGCTTGAGGATGAGGTGAACTGCAGTATTTTAAAATTATTTTCCGTTCTGTTCTTTCCTATTTTAGATAGATTCTTCCTTACTGAGTTTACTTATTAGTCGTGTAATTACAGTTCACCCTTTTGTGAAGAGTTAAGGAAAACCGCAGCCTTCTGCAAGTGAACTATCACTAGGTTTTTCTTTTCCTGCCAGATTAGTTTTCTTGCTATCTCTCATATTCATTGGTTTTTTGCAGTTGAATCTGTGCTTTACCCTTCATGACTTTGTTTCGGCATCTTATGTTATTCTTACATACTTATCCTTAGGAGTTTGACCTGATTTCTACTTTCTGTTCAATTCTTTCTTGTGTTTCAGGTCATTGAAGGCAGTGTTGCTTAGCCAAGTTAATCTCTGACTATACTTCCTATTCTCCAAATGTGTGGAATTGTTTGTGTTTTTACCGTAAACATAATTTCTTTAGGGAACTGCCAACTCTACTGAATTCCTTCTGCTGTAGCCATTTTTCCCATGAGAACTTACCTTCCACTTCCCAGGGTTTATTGGAGCCTTCTTGTATAGAGTCCGCTGGGTTTGAATTGATCTTGCCTCTTGCTTTTCATCTATAAAAATAGTATATATTATCACAGTTTCCCTCAACCAAGTTACCTTTGCCCTCGTATTCCCGACCATCCTCTTTCTTGGTTGCTTAGCAAGGCAGCCTGTTGGCAGGCTGCTCTTGAAGCACTTGGCAGGCTCTAACAGCTGCTGTAGACCGTACGCAGGGAGTGGTTAAACGCTGCTCGTTATACCTAGAGACAGACACAGCATGTTGGTTTGTAATGTGCCACTGGAGATGCTCACCTAAACACTCACAGGAAAACGCTGGCACCTTTTACTTGGGCGTTTAATCAAAAGCAAGGCAAATACTACGTGTACAGAATGTTTCAGATGCTCTCCTGTGAAAGCATCTGTGCCCAGCCTTGAAGTTCAGGTAAGGAGAAGACAAAGCCTTTCCCCTATTTCCTTTGCAGACCTATGCACAAAATTAAAATAATGTGTCTCTCTGGATTGATCTTTCCTTGTCTGAATCTTTATTTCCTATTTACCATCACTCAGAGGAATGGGAAATCTCCACTGATTGGTGAGTAAAATCGGATTGTTAGTAGCTTTTCATGTCACTGTGGTTTTCTAAGTGTAGGCGAATCTCTGCAAAGAGATTTCTTTGTCAGAGCTGATTGTTGGGAAGTTTTTTTATTTATATTCTAAGAAATTGTCATCAAATCTCTCAAGAAATAAACTGAGACACTGTTTAGCTTTTGAAATCACACCATGATGAAATGAAACTATAGAGGATTTTTTGTCAGTCTATTATTCACTGCAATATCTTTCATAAGTTAAGAAGTTGACGCTACAGGGATTCTGGTGCCTGAAATGAAGTGACAAAGGCTTTCATTCAGTTTCTGGCTTTGTTAAGGGTGACATGCAGCTTGACTCCTCTAATTTCCATACAGTTTGCAGCTATATAGGATTTTGTCAAATTTCAAAGATTTCAGCAGAAATTTTTCAGGCTAGATACGTGCCTCAGGATATTTTTAAAAACCTTTGAGCAAAAATAGTTTATAGATTTTTATACAGGGAATCTGTCCTCTTTTTTCTCATCTTAAATGGTTCCTGTGACCTTTCTTCTACGAAGTTCAGGTACATTACAGGCTTTGAACTAAGCATTTGAAAAATGAGGTTAAGAGGCTTCGTCCTGTACATTCTTAGTGAAACCTCTGCTGGACCGAGATTGCACAAGAGAGTAAACCATCCCTTTTAGATAGCAAGGCAAGTATGAGCAAGACATTTGAGGGAAAATTGTTGAGGATCACTGGCAAAATAGATTCAGAGAACAGAATCATCAGGAAGAAACTGTGCCTTGATGAGTAGTGTGAAAATTGATGTGGGAGGGAAAGAAAAGGAAAATGTGTCAGTTTAGTTTGGGAGATACCAAAATAGCTATAGGACCTGAAGTGCAAAGCCTGGGACTAGCTGAGTAGAGAAGTGAGAGCAAGAAGCAGTGGGGCTGCGTGGGAAGCTTGGAAGTAGAAGGAGAGACAGTTCTGATGAGCTGGACTCGGAAGTGTGGTTGGCGTAGGGGGCTGTGAGGCTGACTGAGGAGACTAAGGGAGGAGTCTGGCAGAGGGAGCCAGCAAGGAGCTGGCTTGTGCATGAAGAAGACTGAACAGCAGAATCAGGGTGAGATCTAATGGGTGTTTGGGAAGCTGGAAAACAGGATTTGCTGGGCAAACTGCCTGGGGATGATATGAGGAAGGCTTTTGGAAGTGAGGTGAGGATTTGCTGGAGACTGGGTTAAAATTTTGTCTGAGAAGTGGAAGCAGGGACTGGGGAAGAAGTCACAGGTGAGACAGGGGCTAAGGAAAGAGCTCTGGTGCCAAAGCAAATATATGTTCAGCAGGAGTGAAACAGTATTGGAGTGCTCCTGGGGTGGGGAGTGCAAGGAGGTGGAATTGAGGGTAACAGGAGTGAAAGATTCTGGGCAGTCCATGCTGATCGTGGGAGCAGGGGAGGAAGGACAAGCCGTGCTAGGGACCATTCTCCTTCAGTGTCAGGAATGGCATTCTATGTATCGCTGTTTTGCTACTGTCAGCAGGTAATACTGGGTCTTGTCACTGTTGATGCTGGGTTTGTTCAGGAGATGGCAACCTGCTGCCACTATTGGTTATTCCATTAGAGTGGATATCATATGATTGGTCAAGCAAGCTGAACGATTCACCACCAAGAATGATTTTTGTGCATGTTGTTATGATACCACATGAATACGTTTTTCAGTAGCTTTGCAATGCTAGGTTTTTAAAGAAGCAAGGTGCTCCACACAATCTGACACAGTTCACAGGATGAATATGCTCTTGAGATGCTCAAGGTCTGTGCCATAGAATCTCCACTATCTACAACAGATGAGGGAAGGTGTGCAGTGAGTCAGCAAGAAGTTTTAGGATGAGTCATTGTGTTCTTTGTCTGCTGTAATAATCCCATGTGGGGCACCCACCTTTTCAGAAACTCATTGACTGTCCATTCTGTATTTTTTGGGTACTTGAGCAGGCTCTGGAAACCAGATTTGCAGATCTTTTGAGCATTTCTATCTATAACTGAATCAGCAAGACTGCTTTGAACTTACGGTGTATTGAAACATCAAATAGTTGCAATGTCAGGTCTTTAGTTTCAAGACTGTTTTTGCCAAAAACCAGCAGATACTTCACCTTATGCTGTATGATTTAGCTTACCACTTTAATCCTACTGTCTCCAAACTTCTTGATGTTTGATACCACATGTGCCACAGCATGATGTAAAAACATGTTTCATAAAAACAGACTTTAAACATAAAACTTCTGCTGAACAGCTTGCCCTGTAATACAGTGGAGAGCAAAAAGGAAAGGAAAAATAGACCTAGATTCATGTAGGAAGAGAAAAGAAGGTATACACACAATTTGTCAGTAAGTGTCAGGATGTTTCGGGCAAAGAGGTTATTTCTGTAAAAGAGCAGACACAAAATCACTGGTATAAGGGATTGCACCTGATTCCTACAAAGGAGTCTTTGGAGGAGTATAAAAAAGGAAGAATGGAGGGGATTGAGAGTAAAGGTATGGTTTTGGGCCATTGTTGGATTGTGAAAATTAGGTTCAAAATCTGGACGAGAATGACAGAAGAAACTGGAGGAAATGGGACCAAAAAGGAAAATAATTTAAGCAGAAACATTTTGTAATCGCTGGAACGTAAAAAGAGAGTGATCATAACTGTCATCAATTATTGTTGAGGGGTACTAATGGAAAGGATACAAGGATATAATGAGGTGAACAGCAGCTGGGAGGTTGCCTGAGGTCTGTGTGCTAAGCAACCAGGACTGTTACAGACAGTTGTGACTTTGTCCCCTCCTGCTTTTCACCTCCCTGTCCAAACTTGGTTCATTCATTCCAGCCATTGCACACCAAATAGCAAAGAGGATCTAGGGCTGAGACACGGTGGGTAGACTTGAATGGCAAGTAAAACATTGCTATTACGGGCAGTAACTGAGAAGAGAAATATCATAGGGTACAGTACGATGTATGAAAAGGCAGAGAATTAGTTACATACATGAGAAAAGCAGAAGGATTTTGTGAGGCCCATCTCTCATGAAACAAGCCGGGAAGGAGATCATTCATTGCCACTGTGGCTGTGGCCGCAGTGCATCATTCTGAACTTTTCTTCCCTTCTCTCTTTTCTCCCTTTCTCCCTGCTTTCCAAGTCTTTAGGTGTCGTCTAGATTTGCTAAAAGAAAGTGGTGACTTTTGCTGTCCTATGGTTGGTTTTCAGTGATTTAATTGGCAGTTGATACGTGCTGGATTCTGAATTAAATTTTAGATGAAAAGGCTTCACAGCCCATTACTAGATGCCTGACACCAAAAGCACTAATAGAGCACTGCCCAGTCCCCTGGGACTGTCCCCACCCTGACCAAAACCTCAGGCCCCATGTCAGACTCCTGAGGCCATCAGTCCCTGCCCAAGCAATGCTGCAGCAGGACTGATCTCCAGCTTCCCAGGGCCTAACCAAGCTGGGCGCATCCATGAGCCGGTCTCTGAACCTCTCCATACTTAGGAAATAAAAAGTCCGTGGCCTTTCTGGCTACAGCTACAGGAGGAAAAAGAGAGACAAGTTTGATCACATAGTAAGGATTGGGTTCAAGTGAATGAGTGACTGCAGTGTGTATAATCTCGTTCCTCTTTAAACGACTATGGTAATTTACTGGATAACTTACATATTCCTTTCTATACTCATTTCTTCAAATTTGTTCTTTTCCATCTTCACTTCACTGAATTATACTTTTTGTCTTTTTCAGTCCAAATCTCAGCCTCCCTTTTCCACAATGTTTTCAGAGCCACTACACAGCCTTTCTATTTCCCTTGGCCTCAACTCTGCCACTTTTCCTCTGATTGCTGCTTCCTGTCTCTCTCTGGGAGCTTTTCTGTTAGACTCTGTGCTGCCTTTTCCCTTTTTTTCTCCTCACTTTGGTTCTTTTCATACCCAAATTGACTCTTCCTTTTGCTTGCTCTTTTGTGGGCTGGTTGGTAACAGTGTTAGTACACTGGCACCCTAACTGGTGTTGGCATCCCTGAAAAGGCAGACTTCAAGGAGTGATTTGAGGTGAAAAATGTAATGGCTCTAGAGCTGCTTCATAAACTTCATCCAAAATACAAGGGCAGCAGAGGAGAAAGTAGGAGCTATTTGTTTGGTTAACAGGGGCTAATGGTAGCAGGGACTAGCAGTAGGACTGATGAGAAGGTAAATTTGAGCTTTTAACCCTGCATGAGAAATGACAGATAAAGAAAATCTTGGAAGGCAAGACAAGGAGATGACATGGAATGAAATAGAGAAGAAACTAAAAGACAGGCATAAGATATGGTGTAGTAAGAATAGCAAGCAGATTAACGATGGCAATGAGGAAGGTAGCACTGTAGTTGCTGAGACCAGAAAGAAATCTGATGCAGTAATGGAGGGCTGAGATGACCACTGCACAGAACAAGAGTTTTAGCTTGTGCTCTGTAATGGAAATTGTGACTTTGTACCCACCTCAGTGCTCTAAGTGTGGTCTATAGGAAACCCTTGTCAATCTTGTCCTCAGTAGCCCCCAGCCTAGCTCATATGTTGTCTAAGCTTGTACCTTTTCTCACCTAACACCTTTAGTCTTCACTGCAAATGAGATGTCAGACCCTGCCTCTTGTTGACAAAATGTTGACAAGGGTTCTTCTAACCCGCGGCTGTCTGCAACCTGCTTGAGGTTCCTAATCCATTAGTGATTTTCTACTTCATGGGCCAAGCCAGCCTGGCTGCTAAGCTTCTGGGGTTTTCCTCCCTCCTACCTATCCATCACAAATCATACAGAAACAAGGAGGATGCAGATTTGGTTGAGCAAGGATCTTGCTCTTGTAATTCACCCTGATACAACAGCACACTCAGAACTGCATCCAGCAGAGCTTGTTTTTCCTGTTCATTTTTTATTATGGCTGTTCCTGGGGGGTTTCTGCACGTCATCCCCTCCTCACCGTCTATGTACTTATGCACATATCAGTATGTATGTATTTGCAGTTGTCTTTTTGAAGGGATTAACAGGGCTTAAGTATAGAATGGGGTGCAGCAACTGAGAATGTTATCTGTTTCCAGACGTTTTCCCTACCTTCCACTGGGTTGCCCTACTGGTACCTTTTTTTCACTTCTGGCTTCAAATGTATCAGGAACACAAATAAGTATTGTTGTAATTTCATTCTTTTAGTCTGAGAAGTCCCACTTATCATCAAGTAGGGTGCAGAGGATCACCCCACATGCTCAGCTCTGACCAAGGTCTGTCTGTGAAAAATTAGCTTGAGACACACCTTTGTAAATTTATCACCAGGAGACTTTAAATCCTTATCGACCTACTTAGTTAGTTTACTTTGAGCAAATAATATGCCAGTGTAACTGATATTAATGTTTCTGAACTACACATGCTAGCGTATATATATATATATATATATATATATATATATATATATATGTACACACACATATGTACATATGTTTCTGTACTTGGGTAATAAGGGCCATACAGAAAGACTTAATAATATACAATACTTCCAGCTATAACACTTCTTATGGTTTATAAAAGTATCAAAATACTCTTTTTCAGTCTGGTTTTTTTTTTTTTATTATTTATTTAGTGTTTCTTTAAATACTGCAGATTTTTGAATTGCAATGGTTCAGCAGTTCCAGGAGAACGCTTAGGGAATGCTATATTAAGAGAGAATGCTATATTATGAATCATTGTTTCAGCAGGTCAAGGACAGAACAAAGTACCAGTGATAACTGTTCAAGGCAGTGGAATCTATTCCTTTGGTGCCTGCACTAGGAATAAATCTTCATGGCAGAAGGAAGAACTTTAATTTGAGTGTGAAGTGCTCGGTTGTGTACTCACATGACTTTATCATGAAATGACTTTATCACTTATCACTGTTTAAATATTTCCTAATTCAATTAGTACTAAAGGTGCTGTTTTGGTCAGGGGAAAAGGAACTCATTACAAACCCAAAGCTGGTGGTTGGATAAGTGTGAGTGGTTGTGATGTAGCAACACAGGGTCAAACAGTTAAAATCCAGACCAGTAACAGATGTGTGGGATTGTTGCAGAAGGTTTAGTATTACAAGTGTAAATCAAGTATGAAACAAATGAACCAAGAGAAAGAAATTTAACAGAAAAACTTATCCAGTAACTCCAGCACATGACAACTTTGTAAGAGTCCTGGAAAAGAACAATATCCTAATTGAGATAGCTCTTCTGAGTCAAACCACCTAGCCTGACATACAGGGGATGTGCAAGCAGGTTGCCAGCCACTCCTCCATAGCCAGTGTAGCATATAGAAAAGGGAGATATTGAAAGTAGTTAAAAGCAGAGGTTTGTCAGAAATGTCTTGAAGTAAACAGAAGAATGGAAAGAATATTTTATGGACAGCAAACTTGAGAACAAAGATATGAACAACAGGATACAATTTTTTTTTGGTTTTGTCACGAGGAGTGTGTGTATTAGGAAGAAAATTAACAGTGGAATAGTAGAGGGAGATCAGTAGAGGGAATTATCAGCAGTACAAAGAAAATTGGAAGTCAGGCTTCAGGCCTTTTCCCCCATCTTGCACATGCATGAGATGATTGGCATTTCCTTCTTCAATAATCCGCCCTTGCCCCCCCCCCAACTATGTGTAACAAGAACAAAGAAAATTAATGCCTTATATTAAGTTTTTAGCATTTTCTCCTCTGCGGTTATGTTAGTTCCAAAGAGACAGTTAGATTCCTGTCTCCTTGCTTTGTTACTTTTCACTAGAAGAGTTTTCTGTTGGTTTTTTTTTGAGTCTTATCGTACTGTCTTTCCATTTTGCCTGTGGAAGCCCATACTGCTGCCTTTTGGTTACAGCAGAATTAGTCTATTTAGTATGGAGTTGTTGTATTAAGAGACTCACCTCTCCTTGACTTAGGAATGCCTTGTAGTTACCTATAATCACACTTAATTCAAGGTAGGATGAGGTAAAATGCAAATAGAAATTAGCATTACTTCATTACATCTAAAATAGCAAACACAAAAGCATCTTGAAAAGACATAACAGACTGAAGGAAGAGTTCATCTGATTTACTGACACTGACACCTACTGACAAAAGTGCTTTTTGTTTTGGATTTTTTAGCCTCCTTTTGAATTTCCAGGTGACTTGTCCCTCTTCTGGGCAAAATGGCTCTCAGAATTTTCTTTCCTCCTATTCCTCAGGTTTCTCTTAGGAGATTTTCTTCATTGGAAACCTTGCATTACACAGAACTCCACACTGGATTCTCCCATCAGAAAACATCTTCTGAAGAAGCCTTTGGACTTCACCATAAGGTAGCTTTGCTGAACTGGCCTTCTGACCTCACTTGCTGAGGGCAGTGATAGCTCTTATTATGTGCATTTGAAGTTTTCTAAGGAGTCCAGACAGACTTCACCTGTCATCTTGGAGCTCCTTATGGTCTGACCGTACCGAATTAAGTTAAATGTGGTCTGGAATATCCCTTTAGTCAGTCTGGGTCAAGTCTGGGTCAGCTGGTCTACTTGGGTCCCCTCCCAGGATCTTGCCCTCCACTGAGGAAGGAATGTTACAGTGCTGATGCTGTGCTCAGCAGTAGCCAAAACACCAATATGTTATCAACACCCTTCTAGCTGTCAGTGCAAAGCACAGCACTTTGAGGGCTACTGTGGGGAAATGAACTCCAGCTCAGCCAAACCCAATACAATCTCCTAAACACTTTCTTTCTCCCAAGGAAGTAAGTCTCTCCTATTTCCCTCTTGTGACTCACTGACATGTTTCAACATCAAATATGTCTTATGGAAGACCTTATATTCTCTACCAGTACTGTAATTAAGAAATACTATGATACAAGTATCTAATTAGGGTAAAATTAATCCTGTTCATTTTCTGACTCCTGAGACAGGTATGGTAACAATTACTTCTCTGAGGTGACAGCATTTAAAGTGAATGAAGCCCAATCTCTTCTAAGCGTACTCTAACAGGGAGTCCCCGTACAGAATTATTTAGTGTTATATTTATTTTAATTGCTACACAGTGTGAAATTATGTCTTTAAAATGCTTCTGAAAAAGAACAAAAAGGAAACATTCAATCTCATGAGACTGATGAACAATCTGACTGACTTTAACTGGCCTTGAAAACAGCCCATGATGCATTAGGACTCAGTGGATCTCACTGGGAAGTGAGAATTGATGTGCAGTGAAGAAAAGGTTAAAGGAAGAAGATCTTCCCATAATTTTTCTTGCGCCCTTACAATGGTCTTACACAACCAGGAAAACAAAACAATATTGGCCAAGTACCATTATGTGTAAGAATACTGCATTAATTTGAGTATTGTGACAGTTTAATGTAAATACAAGTACATTTTTAATATAGAGTTAATGAACATTCATCCCCCTTCATTCCTCAGGTCATGCCTACACTAACAGAGATTTAGTTATCAGTAATGCTGTTAACTGTACGAGTGCAGATATTCTGGTATTGATGTGTGTTATAATCACCTGTCAGCCCTGAAACGAAGAAGCCTTGTGTGTAAGTACAATTTCAGCAATTTAAGTAGTGCTGATACTACTGCTGTCTCAGAACATACAGGAATCCAGTTGCCATTATGGCAGCTGGAGTTTATGTACATCCACACACTGTGGCACACAAGTAAATTCCAAAATGATCCTATTGTATCTTGTTAAAAAAATACAAAATATGAAAAATTAAAAAAAATTAAGTTGCATCCTTGAGAAATCCAGGCAAGGATGTTTTTATTGAAAAGAAGAAAATGAAGACAGTGTTGCTTGACTTTTTTTGATGGTGCAGACTTTGTGGGACAGAAAGAGAATGTCACATTTGCTAGCAGTTATTGCTTTTCACTTAATTTTGCAACTTCAAGTGAAAGCACAATGATGAAGAGCTTTCTACTGGGGGAAACAGAGTAAGATTGCACAGAGAACTTAGGTGTCTATCAAGTAGACAGAATAAGTGATTACAGGACAGGGAATATGTCATATTGGACTGCATTTACCTTCTCTCTTTTATCTGTGAACAGAAAAACAGCTTTTCGGTAGTTTTCTCTGCTGCTTCTGTGTGTTTTTTCCTGTCATATGAATAATTTTGGGGCTCTTGTGCTGCAGCAGCAATGGCACAAACATATATATGATGCAGTGCCTTTGGAGAAATAGAATGGGAGAATTCATCCATTGTTAGTTGTTAGGATTCTCTGGAGGAATAGAGAAGAGTTTCTCCTGCAGTGAATATTGATTTATTTGTACAAAGTTGAAAGCTTCAGGGAAACAGATGGAAAGAAACTCATTCTGAAGGTGTCATGGGCTTTCCAGAGATGCCTGTCACAGGTTATAGAGAACTTTGTATTCCCAGATTCTAAAGGTTATAAAAAAAGTATGACTCTGTAATCCTAAATGAAGATATTGTTGCCCAGTGTGAAAGGATAGAGAGTCTGCATGGCAGCTTTAAACAACAGCTTTAAAAGAGAAGAATGGAGAAGTAATTGCTCATAAACATGCCATTGTTCTGAGAAAGGGGTGAATTTTGGAATATTATGAAGGAGTCATATTATTTGTCTGTTTGATTTAACAGTATAATTGTGGTGAGTCTCTTCCATGAGAGAATTTTTATTTCTTAACAAAGCCTATTTTTATAAGGCTTTAAAGGTCCTTCTGCTATCATAAATCTGTAAGCAAATTACAGGTTATCTTTGTTATATCAGTCATATGAAATCTAACTTGTATTATCTTTCCTTGTTGACAGAAAGACAGATTTCCACTTTAGAGATCACGTCATACTTCATCTTGTGAAAATAATATGAACCCGAAATTATTAGTTTTCCTTCTCCCAAATTTTATATTTGGGATATTTCTTTTTGGATTTTTCTATAAGAGACAAAAAACCATAACAGGTGAGTAAAGAAATTATCAACAATGAGACCTCATGTTTTATAGAAGCAGGGGCACCTTTGCCAAATGTGTTAGAAAGTAACTATGGAGCCTAAGTGACAAACAATACTATGGAAATATCCAAGGTCCTGTCACTGTGATAGCTATCTTAGCAACGTATGAGAGAAAGAACACTACAAAACCATGATGTTAGAACATCAGACTTGCTTAGACTAATAGTGCTAACATGTTGAAAGTTTTCATTTTAATAAACTTTTCACTATGTAGCGTGGTTTATTGCATGTTTGCCATAGTGGAGACCAGTAACAGTAAAAAAAAATTGATTTTAACATCTTCGTTAGTTTTTGTAAGCAGGGTGATAGATTGAGTGCTATGATTATCACAAATAAAGAGACTCAAATAAGCTTATTTCACTGAAATGGTTTAAATTTCTTCCTTGATTGCAGGTGCTTTTCCCCATCCTGCTGAAAATTGGGTGGCAATTCAAAATGGTCGCAAAAGCACACTGGCTTCTGTCTGCCTGAAGAACAACCTTACTAAATTTAAAAGCAAATTGGGCGTTGCAAACCAGCTCTTTGTGGAGCACAAGCATAAATTTATCTACTGTGAGGTGCCCAAGGTAGGCTGCTCCAACTGGAAGAGAACTATTTTTCTTCTCCAATCAGACCTGAATGCAGAAGCTTCTGAAATTGAGCATGACCACATCCACCAAACATCAGCGATCAAAAGGTTGGGGTCTTATCCTCCTGCCAGACAAAAGGAATTTCTAAGCAATTACACCAAAGTGATGTTCACCAGACATCCTTTGGAAAGGCTGGTTTCAGCTTATAGAGACAAACTTCTGCACTCTGAGCCATTCTACAGCATCACTGTTGCTAATGAGATTAGGGCAATGTTCAGGAAAAACAGAAATTCTTCTGAAAAAGTGAGTTTCCAGGAGTTTGTCAACTTCATTTTAACAAAACCACCAAATGCTCTTGACATTCACTGGAAACCAATGTTTCTGCTCTGCAATCCTTGCAACATTGACTATGATGTTCTGGGTAAGTATGAAACTCTTGGATTAGACTCTGAGCACGTTCTGAAGGTCATTGGAGCACCAGAGAGCATGCAGTACCCCAGCCTGAAGAGATACCGGTCAGAAAAACGAACTAATGGTGATATCACCTTGGAGTATCTCCGACAACTGACTTCAAAACAAATTGAGGAGATCAAAAAATTGTATCAAATGGATTTTTTTTTGTTCAACTATACTATGAAATATGAGGATTATTTTTCCCTGAATGACTAATGTAGGTTAAACAAAGAACAGTTTCCTTTGTACAAAAATGGGCTGAACTTGTCCTCACAGGTGCTTGATAGGTGGGTTGATGACTGACTGCTGCTGAGATTTTCCTGGAGTTTGTAGATATGGTTTATCATCCTAAACACCCTTATAAAAAACCCCTGCCATGATCTCTTGTACCATACAGTACTTTACCTATGAAATTATTGTCTTCCTGTTGATCATTAGTGGCATACATTTGATTCATATTTAAAATGATAGATTTTGGTCCATTTGTAAGAGACATGGGAAGGATGTTGTTTTTCACAATGAATATTTTAGAACACCATTTTTATACAAATTATTTTAAATTTTTTATTAGAAAAAAAAAGACATAATCTGCTTGAGAGTCAAACCACTCCTTGTCTGCAAGAACCTTGGCACAAGGAGAGATCCAAAGTGAGAAGACCAACAAGAACAGTGAACAATTATTTTTTTAAAAATAGCCTACAATTTTATGATGAATGATTCATGGTTCTGGATCTTACCCTCACCACCACCATACTTGGTGTCCCCACAGCCCTAGTATCCCCTGATACTGGATTACTCATGACACCCTGGCAACCCTGTAGTTCATGTAGATTTTTTTTTTTTACTTTTTAGTTTTGCTGAGGCAGAGGAAGTTGGAAATTACTCTCATCAAAGTTAAGGCTATGCAGAAAGATGCAGACTCTCTCTCTTCTTCCTGAATTAGAACCATCTCCAGCTGCATGCTTCTCCTGCTTTCTTTGACAGATCATGCAGAGATGGAGGGGAATAAGATTTGCTTCATAACTCACTTCTACATGGTAGAGCCCTCCAGAGCTCTAAGTATATCTGAAGCTGTAAATATATCTAAAAATATTTTAGTTTTCTGAAACCACCAGCCAGCCTAGGAAAACTCTGAAGAAATTATACTGACAGAGTTTGATAGGTGTCTTTGCTATCAGCACTCTAGTGTTAACACCCCCCTCCAGTTTCTTGCTGTTAGATGTGAGTGGCTTTCTATTCTTATTTCCTCTTTCACACAGGATCACATATTCTTCCCTCAGTGGTGACAGAAAACTGATGGCTAATTCATTCTTCACAAGTGCTAGTCAGTAGCAAAAGTGTATCTACTGAAGCAGAAAAATCTGTGTAACTATTCACAAGGGACTTTGAGTTTTGACATTTGCCTATAGGAAACTGTAAGTAGCGTGTTGCCTTGAATCACTGGCTGCTGTAATGCTGGTGTGGCTCTGAACAAAAAAATAACTGCAGATGACATGTGTATGCATGTGTGCACATATATAACAACAGTTTTAGGAAACAACAACATACAAGAGTGGTATAAATTGTGGATTATCAACAGTAACAAAATGAGAATAATGGGTTGGTATCTGTCAGAAAATAGAAAAAAAAGCCTTCTTGATATCGTAATGTAATAAAAATTGATGTTGGCTCTGGGCATTGTCTAGTCAGCCCACTTGTAGATACCTGCAAGACACCTGTAAACATTATGATGAAAATTATAACATGACTGTCTCTTTGTGGCCTGGGAGAGAGATTTCCTGTACTGTCTTCCGTAGAAATGCACTGCTCGGAACAAGTCTCTAAACTAAGTTGGGCTCCCTCCTGGCCTTTGCTCAGGGAAGAACCTCCAGTGGGACTTCTTTCCTTTGAATGCTAACTCTGGGGTGATGTTTTCCTGAGAGGAAAATGGGTGCTTGCTGTTGGGAGCAAGGGTGTAGGCAGCGTGGTGAGGCTCAGGGATCCTGGGGTGGATTTGAAGGTGTAGGGAGTGCCATAATTTATCTTCTGATTTATTATTATATGCCTGTGATATGACCATTGTTATGTTTCATTGTTAATTACCTTAATAAACTGTAGTGTGTTAACTCATTAATCTATTTGTTCATCCTTCTCAATAACATCTGTTTAAAAAAGAAACCCATCTCAAAGTTGTTCTGTCAAATTATAACATCGGCCATACACTATTAGACAACAATAAATACAAAACCACTTGGCTCTGCTTTGCTACATTAATATATTATATTAATATATATTAATAGCTATTGATATAATAGTATATTAATAACTATATAATAATTAATATAATAATATATTGCTATATTAATGTAATTGCTATATTAATATCTGTCCCACAGGACTTCTAAAGAATAGAAAGAATTAGCAAACACTAATGTGTGCTCCAATTGGAATGGAAGTAAGTGGGAAAAGCAAGAGACACAAGAAATCTTGCAAGGTCAGTCTTGTATCTTTCCTACAAATCTGTCAGCAGTGAGAAAATAAGAGAGACCTTTCCAATTCTTATGGAAATCCTCACACACACTTTCATGATAGGTATCCACAAACCTGACATCATTCTTTCTTCAGGAAAGTATACAAGATCTGACAGCTGATCAGTGTATGTCAGCAGTGGAGACCATGTCACCATTTAAAAATGATGATTCTGCCTAGAAGCAGTCATCATTTTTCACACAGTTTTGAATTTGAATCTTAACAGGTAAATTGTGATTAGCAGTTTCTTGTTCAGAGAACTTCCCAAAGCAGGACAGCTGTGAACAGAATAAAAGATGTGAGCAATGAAATTTTGAGCATTTGCTCTTCCACAGCAGTTGCTCACGACTAGAAGGTGATTCTATTTCTGCATTCAGTGTTAATAAGCTTTTAGCTCTATGGTCTCCAATTTTCTTGACTTGTCTGTCATAGGGGTAGAAAACCAAAAGGAAACAGGAAAAGAAAAAGACACTAATGCTCTGTAATTGTGCTGTGGGCCTGATATGATTTTTTCCTGTCACAGCATCTTTTACCTCCCTTCCTTCCAGAATTATAAATTAGGTCATGGTTTATTAAAAACTAAAAAGTTATCAAATTATATAACTTACATGAATCAATGTAAACCAAATAAAACAGGCAGAGAATTTACCTGATAAAAGTGTCTAAAATTTCTGGAAGTTCCTCTGGATATCAGGTACCAGGCATCAAATGTACACAGGTGGGCAGTTACAATGCTGCTTCTAGTAAGAACTATTTTTAAAGGAAAAAGCTCCAGCGATCATAAATCTCAGTATACTGAGAATAAAATTCCAAATGAATCAGCAGAGCAAAAATGAGTGACACATCACAGGATCAGGTCTGTGAAAAGGAACTGGCTCAGCACCATTTCAGCACTACTCATGTACACCTCACCTGTGTTCACCGCTTCTAGAACACTTCATGGAATCGTAGAATAAACTGGATTGAAAAAGACCTCCAAGATCATCAAGTTCAATCCTTGATCCAACACCGCCATGATTACTAGACCATGGCACTAAGTGCCACATGCAGTCTCATCTTAAAAACCCCCAGGGATGGTGAATCCACCACCTCTCTGGGAAGCCCATTCCAATGTCTGATTACTATCTCTATAAAAAATTTCCTCCTAATATTCAACCTAAACCTCCCCTGGCATGGCTTAAGATTGTGCCCCTGAGCTGAGCTCCCTGAGCTGGGCATGGTGCTGTGGTCAGGACCGAATATACACATGGGGGGCACTGTGCTGGAGGTTACCTACACCACAGCAGAAAGGAAACAGCGATAGCTGCTAAACTCCTTGTGCAGGTTTCCATCCAGAGCATTCAAAGCACCTTGCACAGCAAATAGGGAGGGATGCCCTCAGAGATTTTTTAAGATTGGTCCTCAGGGATGCTTACATGGTAAAAGAACCCACAATGATGTTTTACACCCTCTTAGCTGGATACCATATCAACACTGAAATTTGTGTCCTCAGTTCTTGTTGCTGTGGTTTACACACCACAGAACACTCAGGAGTACCCTGTCTCACTGCTGGCAGCTGCATGTCAGCATTTTTTACAGCCTCTGCAAAGGTTTTTCATTCTACTCCAGTTTTGGGACTTCGTTTGTATCTGAAACAAGTTCAGAAAAATTGCAGTTTTGGGAGTTGATGAGAATAAAAATAGTAATAATATACATAATATACATAAAAAAAGGTCTGAAATACTGTTTCAACCACTTATTTAGTTTGTGAACTGTTATACAAATTCTTTATATGAATTTAGGTCTTGCAGCCTTCATCAATGCCTGTTTGCTTTGCTTTGTTTTTATCCTTGTTTGTGTTCTAATAAACTTTATATTTTGTGAGTTTAAAGTGCTATGTAGATTGAAAGTATGAATTTAGGTATGCCACATATTAAGTTCCCATTCCCATTGTCAATTCAATGTCAACTCTTGTATGAGTGTGTCACCTACCTGTGATTTAAAAACTGAACCATGATACTCCATGCAAACATTCCAGGATGTGAGACGTGGATTCTAATCCAAGATCTTGAACCTGGACCTGTTCAAACTCTCCAGTCTCATGAGGCCAGACTTCTGGACGTTTCTTTTTCGCTTTGTTTTGTTTGGATTCCGTTTTGGCAGCTAGCACCGGTGGAAATTAGACATTGAAACTCGCCAAGTCTTTTAAGCAAGTAACCAATTATCATCCGAGTTCCTATGGGGCCATCTGGTGGCGAAGGGGGCTCGATAAAGGGAGGATCGCCCGGAGAGAGGTATCCGATGGCTGCTGTGTATAAATTCTTGTTTTTACCTGAAGTCTTGTATTTCAGGGCTCTCATGCCTGTTCTTTCTCTCCCTCTGCTTCTCTGTCCCTCTCCCTCTGATTATATTCCTCTTTCCCTGGAACAAGAATTCAGTTTCAACTTGGCCAGTAGTGGCTTTTTTGTCCCAGTAGTTTTTTTTTTTCACCAGTTTGCCACAAGCCTTCCTCCCTACCTTGCTGGATTGTGAGGACTGACCAGCTGCTCACACTGGAAGTTACACTGTGCCGCTCTAGCAAGCACTTCTTGTTTCCATGTTGCACAGCTTTTTCCATGGTGAAAGCCTGCTTTGTTACCTTTCCCCCCCTCCAGCTGAGCAACAAATTATGGTATTGATTTGATTTATAATTAAGTTGTAACTGAACTCTATGGTTCAATGCTATATAAAAATGACATATGAAGACAGTTAGTATTCAGTTGACTATATTTGGAAAGGCATTCTGGTTTGTGTGCTGTGATTCATCTCTGTCATTGTTTCAGGGAGACAGTTATCCATTCACCATCTCTGAAAATCTCTTTATGAGTTTTATCTTCATGTGACAATCTGAAAAACAGGTATGGTATATGGTTAGGTCTGAACATCTAACCTGTCATTAGGCATTTTCTGAGTAAAATGCAGCTCAATACCTCCATTATTAATCTCAGCCAAAATTCTGCTGATGCTTACAAGATGAAAGCTGCAAACAACATTGTTTTCCAGGAATCTATATACATGTGTATCAAAGGGAAAACGTTTTCATGAAAATTACAAAAAACTGCCTGTGAGGAAAATGCAATTCCTAGACTGAAAATTAAATCCCCTGTATCATCTCAGTTCATTTTTTTTTCCATTTCTGAAGGTCCTTATATCTTCGTGAGGCACTTTGTCACACTCTTTGACAAGAACTTTGATAACATTATAAGAGAAATATTATTCATTATTCCTCCAACCTATATAAAAAATCCCTAAACCCTACAAAAACATTAGGTGCCAGTTAGTAAATATCATAACTAATTAGTAGTCAACCTTTATCAGCTTTGTAAAGCAAAAAAAAAAAAAACCAAAAAACACAACACAAATAACAAACCAACAACAAAAAAAAATCCCCAGCTAAAACCAAAAAGTGTTTCTTCAGGTTGATAATAACAACCCCACTAGGGAGGCAGAGGTCCTCTTGCATTTTCAAAGAGGGTGTGTTTTAATTTGCTTCCTGTCTAGTCATCAGGCAGCCTTGCAGAACTGTACTTACCTGAGGCAATAATGTATCAGATTCATGAGTAATATATCTCTGACAATTCTTCCTAATTTTGATACATTTTTTTTTCCATTATGTTAAATATCATGTTAATAGGGGGGTTTTATGCCAGCAAAAGCATCACACAGCCTTGATGGTTGTATCACACTTGCATTAGCAGCATCATTATGGTTACAGTATTATCATTGACTATTTATAGTGGTTTAGCTGCAGCTGGTAACTAAGTACCACACAATTGCTCTGTCACTCCAACTCCCCCCCAGTCCCCGGGGGTGGGACGGGGAGGAGACCTGAAAAACATAAAAGCTATGGGTTGAGATAAGAATAATTTAATATTTGAAATAAAGTAAAATCTAATGGTAATAGTAATTAAGAGAGGGAGAACAAAAAGAGAGAGAGGAATAAAACCCAAGAGAAATTGTGTTGTTTGCTGCCCAATACGACTGTTCACCACCCTCTCACAGATGCCCAGCCTGTCCCCCAGCAGCAATTGGCCCCTTCTGGCCATCTCTCCCCAGTTTATATATTGGGCATGACATTCTGTGGTATGGAATATCCCTTTGCCCTGTTCGGATCAGCTGTCCTGGCCATGTTCTTGTGCATAGCTTCTTGTGCACCTCCTCACTGGCAGAGCATGGGAAATTGAAAAGTTCTTGGCTTAGGGTAAGCACTACTCAGCAACAACCAAACCATCAGTGTGTTATTAATGTTATTCTCATACTAAACTTAAAACGTAGCACTATACCAGTTACTGGGAAGGAAACTAACTCTGTCCCAGCCCAAATGAGGACACTGTTTAAGAACCTTATCAGAAACTTTTTAGAGGCATTAGTCGTAAAAGTAGTGTTGGGGATTTCAAGATGATGAAATACGTGTTCTCTGTTTTGAAGACAGAACCACTAAGGTAACTCAGTACAAACATTAAGTTTTGAGTTGGTTTTAGACACTGCTTTGGTACCAATCGCCTCACAATGTCTGGCGCTGCCAAACCAAGCCCTCGCAGCTCGGACGGGAGGCCGAAGGCTCAGGCAGGAGGGAGTGCTCCCGGG